CCGCCCTCCCAGGCCTACTCCTGCTCCAACACCAAGTCCGCAGATGAGATGCAGACGCTACTGAATAAAACACATTAAAAATTATCTACAGTCTGCAGGGGTCAGGTCATTAGAGAACCAAGTACATCTTTAGCAAGAATGAACAAAAGGGTTTTGTATAGCTCTGGATGTAGGTATTTATCCAGGCTAATTGAGAAGATTCTTTGCTAGACCACCCTGTTCTTCCTAACTTCTTCAATGTGGCAACCACAAAAGAAAACGCATTTAATTTGGACCTTAAGCCCCTTAAATATATTACAAGTAAGAAAAGCCTACTTGCTCTTTGGAGGAGGGGAGGGTGCTGAGTGAGACAAAATGTTTCTTCTCTTTTTGTTAGCACACAGACACAATCCATTTCAAATTGTGAACTAGAGGTGAAGATATTAATTTTGGAGTTTGCAACCTTTAGTTAGTTAATCACAGAAACTCACTGGGAATGGTGTATGTGCACAGAAGTGTGAATTCTCCAAATCCAGGAAAGCAGAATGCCCCAGGCAGCTGAACAAAGTAACAAAAAATTGCTCACTGGAGCTTTGCAGAGTATTGGATCAAACTCCTGAAACTTGCTTGCAAATTCCCTGCTGTTTTTGCCTGAGGCTCCTGCAGAGACCAAGCACCCTCCTGTGCTCAGTCCAGGAAGGTCTGTCCGCTTCCCTCAGTGCAGAGGAGCAGCCCAGCTAGGCAGGCACAGCGCCTACCTCCCCACAACCCTATACAGTTTAGAGCTAGGGCGGGAGAGAGGCATGGGAAAATGCCATTGTCAGTATGGGGATGGCTTCCATTTTTGAACACTTAACCTAATCAAGGCATTGCCTGGAGCTTCTCATAATAGCCTAAGTGGGAGGCACATCCATGATCCTCATGGTGCATTGAGGAACTCGTGCTCAGAGAGGCTACCTCACTTCCTGAAGGTCACATGGCAAGGAAGTGGCAAAGGTGGAATTCCAACCGAATGCTGAACCCACCACCCATCTCCTTTCCGCTATGCCTACATCAGGGGGCCTCTGAGCCATCGGACAACTGGGAAAATGGGAGAAGAGGTGTCTGTAATCTAAGAAAGGCAGTCTTTATCACTAATGCTTGCATCCAATTATTGGGCGTTCTCATACATTATGTGACAAGGGTTAGAACGGACATGAGTTCTCCTAAAAGCAAAAGCAAGTGGCTGTTAATGTCCCTTAGGGTTAAAAACCTCAAAGTCGAGGAAACTCCTTTGTTCTTTTAGCTATCTTCTCCTTAAAGAGCAAAGCTGAGGCCCTCTTGCCCTAACCAGCATCTCCATTCATGGCCTTCAGTCTACTCATGAGAAAAAGAAAAGACAGTACCAAACCAAATCGAACAAACGACAAACACACCAACCAACACCGCAGCCCCTGGGCTCTCTCTCTGGTCCCATGAACATTTACGACAAGTAACTTCAGAAAAAGAGCCACTGTGGAGACCCAGCTCTACCTTGTGCTCCAGGCTGGAGTCTTTAAACATCAGTGAGAATGGCTTGATATGCTCTCTTCTCAATTTATCGCCACTCCGCAAGTCGATGGTATGTTCTATTCTCTTGTTAATTTCCTCAGGCCCAGACTGGACATGCAAAGCTTGTGCAAGATGGTTTGGAAGTAGATTTATTGAATTTCTTGTTAGGGCAGCCAGAGTCTAGGGGGAAAGCACATGCAAACACAATAAACCTGCTAGTCCCCTTTGGATTAAAAAGAAATGCAATGTTTTTAGATCAGGTTGCATTGCAAACAGTAATAGCACTCCATGCATGCAGTCGTATTCAGTGAAACCTACAGAAGTTGATCAGTTAGCCATTTGCTTCAGAGAAACACAAAATATCACATCAGGAGGGTCACTTGCCTTTCCTCTGGGTAGGTGCACTGAATTCCTTTGGTTCAGGTATTTAAAGAGTTGTTGGCTTGGAGATGTTAATCAAGACCCTTTCTCTAACCAGGCACATGGCTGGTATGAGAGAAAGAGAACCACCAGAAATAACAGAAAGTAAAATAGCTGAAAAGTCCACAGAAATGATCATCTCTCACCAAGCAGAGTCCACACTCTCGTGTGGTCTTTCCTTTAATGGCGGTGGAGAGACTGGGAGACCCAGGGCTTGCATTTTTTTGTTTTTGGCATTCCTTGTGGACGGAGAGCCAAACGTGCCAGGATCTCTTCCTTAAACTCGAAGATTGTTAGATTTTTGCACCTCACAAATATGTTTTTTCCCCCATAGATCTAAATCTTGATATAGATATATAATGATATATAACGCCTCATTCCTCTTAGGCAAAAAATGCAAGCAGCTGCAGCCTCTCAACATTTCCCAGGGGTTAAACAGCATGAGGTGGGGAAAGGCGCGGCCACCCTGGTTGGTCACATGGACGCAGCCACAGCACTGGCTTGTGAAGATCCACCAGGTGTGACACGGAGGCCTCTGTCTCCCGCTGTTTCAGCTGCAGGTGACAACACCAACTGGCTGGATCAAGCCAAATGCAGTGCTTGCTCACAGCTCCAATTAAAGACAAATGCTTTGACAAAATAGTGGGAGTCAGAGCCGAAGGGATATGGGGGCAGGGATGTCCATCTCCTCCTCCAGGAGATTTCCCTGGGGAGAGGTCCAGGATGAGGTGCATTTGTAGAGTCAGGCAGGGAAAACTCCCTGCCTCTCTGTACACGCTCACCGCATCTGCTTTTCTCTGCCAGCCTCCCAGCCTGGCCACACTTAGCCCACAGACTAGACTGGGATCAGGTGATGGAGCCATCAGATGGCAGCCTGTGGGACCTGACAGAGCACCTGGGATGCTGTCTTGCCCGAACCCTTCATGTATCCCTGAGCCTCAGAGGCATGTGCTCAAGAGCCATCAGCTCATCTACAGTCGGGTCAGATCCTCTGACTCCAGAGCCAGAGTCAGGGGCTTTGAGCTCATGGAAAACTTCTAGCCCATTCCATAAGGATTCTTCCTCTGGTACTGTTAGACTCTTCATTTTAACTTTCATGGAGATATTTAATGTAACCTAAATTCAAGGTCTCTAAGGAATTCCATAGTAGGGCTTCATCACCAGTAGAATTTACTAAAACCCTTTCTCCAGCCCCAGGATAAAGGATGGAGTTGCATGTGCCAACATAAGAAAGTAAAGTACATGCTCCTAGAACCCTGAAGCAGTTAATTTCAGCTCTGAATACCAAGGAGGCTACTGCAGAGAAAAAGATAGATGTTAGGGGGAGGAATGGCAGGATGAGAGGGGAGGAGGAGGGCTGGAGCAGGGAGAAGGAAGCAGGGACCAACGTTCCAGAAAATTGAACAGCAGGAACCATGCAGGGCCAGAGGGCTTGAGCCCCTGGAACTAAATGCTGTTACAACAGCATCTCAGAAGGCAAAGGCATCTGCACTGTCGGCCACACTGTGCATCCCGCACTGGTTTCTTGGGCAGAAATTCTTCCCACACAGTTTGGAAAATGACAAGATTTAGTTCTCTATCTTGGAGGGGAGGGGGAAATGTTCATGTTGTTGTTGTCTGAGCATGCACTTTTACCCTCTGGCTTAGAGATGCCAAGATGCTCCCCCAGCAAGTGCTTGGAGCTGGGGTCGAACAGCTGGATGTGGAATCGGCTAAATATTGGCTCACTACATTCATCGTTAGGTATTTCTTTCTCTCCCTGTCATTTTAATTTTTCTCATGGTTTTCCTTCCTGGAACGAAACTGATCCTACCTACTCTACCAGTCCCTCATGCCTTCACTGGCTCTTGAACCTCTGGATTTCACAGAGAAGGGGAATTTCAAAAAATACCTTTGGGACAGATATATATAAATTACAAAACCAGCCACCAGTGCCATGACAGCTCTCTGATGTGACCACCACTTCATAAAATAAAGGGTAATTTTTTTTCAACGAGAATGCTATACTCTCGAAACAAAGGATAGTCCTTTACATTGGTTGCATTTAAATTAATGGATAACTCTGCTCATTTTTTCTTACGTCGATTGGGACTGGTGAAAATGGCATGAGAGATTGACTCTGGTCTATAAGCAGTCCTTCCGAAAACAAGCAATACACGTTGCTTCCTGGTTGCCTGTATCATCGGCCACTTCTGAAGGCAGAGACCAGTTGAGGCACCTGTCAGAGCTTTCCTACCCCCCACAAAATTATACCAGCTTTGTGGCTACTTCAAATAAAAGTCTGGAAGCACCTCTCTCTTTTTCATCATCGCTACCAGGTTATAGTTAAGAGCTGGGAAGGAGCCCTTGTATCAACATGTCAATGATGCTGTGCTGGAGAATTCTTTTCTTCTCCAGGCAATTATTTTTATTCTTTGTAGTTATATCCCTAGGATTTTATTACAGTTGTCAGTGTTCAGTGGACCCTTTCCTGATCGTTCACTTTGTCAATGACATAGGACCATCATACCTGCTGTTTGACCAGCAATGTCTCTGGTACCCACTTCACAGCTTCAGGATGTATATGCTCAAGGGAAGGCCAGCATCAACTCAAGAAGTCAAGCGAACTGGAATTAGGGAGGGAAATCATCTGCTTTCACTCACCCCCCATGCACCACTGCAAAGCACGGCTGGCTTTGGGGGTGACTGTGGTTTGAGATGATCTGGTATACCTCTCCTCCTCCATTCATGATGACCACTAAGATTTGACCAGGTTGGATATGGTTGTCAACACCAAAAATCCATACGCTGATACTTCACAGGGATTCTTTTGTAAGTAATATTGGGGAAATGGGTAATGGGTCTCATTTGCAGATTTAAAGTCATTATAGAACCAGTTGTTCTTAATAGAATATGCCTTTTTCTCTTTTTGAGATGGACAGCTGCAGTGGGAGCAAGATTAAGATCATATTAAAAAATAGCATAAGCTTTCAAATAGGATTCCAACTGCAACTGACCTCTTAAAAGTCGAGATTATTTTATGTAAAAGACTTAAGCAGTTGGCTAGCAATAGGAAAACAAATGGATAAAATGGAGGGAAATGGGAAATGCCTGAGAATAATAGAAATATATATATTTATACACACATGCACACACACACATATACACACATACACACACATACACATGAAATTGAATACATGTATCTGAATGTATGTTTCAATGTATAGCTCAAATACATATTATGCTTATATACAATCATAAGTGTGTATACTCATTTATTTACCTTAGCTGCTATTTCCAGATATTTGGGAGGTCAGATTGAAGCAGCAATGTTGAGAAATATCAAAGGTTGCTGCTGAGCTAGCCTCTCATATCTGAGTCTCTTCACATAAAAGCACAGCAGCCCTGAGATTTATCCTAACCAAGATCCACGCCCTCCTGACGCATTTCAATGACCTCCTTACTCATAGGCACTTAGGACAGATCAAAGCCCAGATGAGAACCAAAGCCCCTTCTCCCAAGTTTCTGAACGTAGGGTCTGCCTGATAATCTGGGGGTTCGGGTGAAAATCAGCATCACAGGTCCCAGTTATGCTTTTGTAAACCGCATCTGAGTGGGGTGGGGCAAGCCATAAATCCTCTTAAACTCACCATCTGGTTTCGGCCTGTGACTTTTCTTTGGGAATTGTCTTATATGACATACAGAGTGAAAATCTATTTTTCCTACTGTCCTCTCACTTCATGGATGGCCATGAACTTTGGTAGTCCTTCATCAGGTTGTGGCAGCAAATACATCCTTCCTAGTAAGATTTCCGGCTGAAGGTGTACTCTCCAGAAACATCCAGTTTTGTTGAGTCAGAAACACTGTAGTTCTTATGGATCGCATATTCCAAATGCAAAACACCCTCCAAAGCATCCCTGGAGATACTGCAAATCCGCTGACATAGTTGCAGTGTTGGCATCTGGGGAAGTCATCACTAATTCTCCTAGTTAAGTCCTTTCCAAAAAACTTGTTCAAAGAACACAGGGAATCAAGGGATGCTTCTTTACAAAATGGTTCTGTGGACCAATCAGTTTAGGAAATATGGATCCATTACGGTTCAAATTGCATCATAGCCACTCAGCACGTGTTTGTTGAGAGACTTACAGTACGCGTCACTGAAATTAAGGTACGAATAAATTCTGCAGAAATGAGATTTTAAAACTGTGTATTTTCCAAACTTAGAACCACAAAATGCTTTTTGGCTCAAATCACCTCTACATGTTCTATGAAATATCATTTGGGAAAAGTTGGTCTGAAGTTCTTCCCTGTTTTTGTTCACAACTTCTACCTGGGGTCCTATCTCTAATCCCTGAGTAAGATCCTATTAACTTCCCTCCATGTGCCCCCCTTCTAGTGTATAGAATCAGACCCAATGCAAATGACATCTGACCTTGTGCTGGAGCCTAGACACCTGCCATAATATGACCTACTAAACAATTACTCAGCCCGTTCTATTTTATGCATTCAAACATGGAGCATCTAAGCTGCATGCCTTACCACTACTTTAAAAACCAATTATCTTGATGAAGTCCCAAAAGTTCATTTTTGCTTTTGTCTCACTAGCCTTTGGAGATGTATACTGAAAGAAGTTGTTGTGGCCGATGTCACAGAGGTTACTGCCTATGTTCTCCTCTAGGATTTTGATGGATTCCTGTCTCACACTGAGGTTTTTCATCCATTTTGAGTTTATCTTTGCGTATGATGTTAGAGAATGGTTGAGTTTCATTCTTCTGCAT